TTTTCTTGGTGTATTTCTTCCAGTTGGTAGGAAGTTTCTGCGTGCCCACAGTCTCCCCATGCTAAGGACCTTGGAAAGAGGCTTGTGGCTAAGCTGGCGCTGACCAGAGGGGAGCCATTGGAGGGGAGGGTAGCTGGGATATGAGCAGGGACCCAAACTAGAGATCTGGAGGGAGAGGGAGCCCTGGGGCCAGCCCAGCTACTTGCCCACCCACCCTCTTTCCATATACCTCTGCTCAGGTCTTGGAGGCTTCTATGTCTGGTTGAGGCAAAGAAATCTGGTCCTGGGCTCCCCACTCAGGCCATCCCAGCCTAACTTGCTTCCCCAAGTGCAGAGCAAACCCCAGGATGAGCAAAACCAGGCCTTATGACCTTTGAACTTTTCCCAAAGCCTCTTGGCTCCGGAATCTACATTAGCCCAGGTGCTTAGGTCCCACTCCCCACCCCCCCAGGGCTCCAGAAGAGAGATGAGCCTCCTGAGTGGGTCAATCCTTCGCTCTCAATAGGTGCTGGACAGTGTGCCCATCCTATAGATGCAGACAGATACTGAAGCCAAGTGAAGGTCCACGTCACTCAAGTGGTGAACAGAACAACTGGCTCTGGGCCTCAACTTCCCTTGCTCTTTCCGATGACCAGGAGCTGGGAGGCTTCCGCTGGGAGGAGTGCTGGCCTGGCCTCTGATTCCAAAGAGCCAGGTCTGGGCGACAGAAACCCAGAGTGTGCAGCCTCTGGCAAGTCCCAGCCCTCCCGGAGCCTCAGGCCTCCCGGCCGCACCCAGAGCGAGGTGGGCGGGTAGCTCCGAGCACAGTTACGCTGGTTCTGGTAACTGCTCTCCGACTGCGGCCCAGCAGGCCCCGCCCAGCCACCTTCACTGGCTCGGGCTGAGGCCGCCGGGCGGGGTTCGGGTCTATCTGGCCGTCGGATTAATATCCAGATATTAAGTAAACAATAAATTAGCAAAACTACAAGAAAATTTTACAGCCCTTTGCATTTGGCAATCATTGAGTGTTAATTAGAAATTCATTACAATTAAAACCCTGCCTAAACAGGGCCTGCGCGCCTTAATTACATCTGATTTTTAATTCAGAATACGTGTTTACACAGTAAGCGCTACGTACCCCATGATTATCCCCAATCCTCTTTATACTGTACTAATTATGTAAATTAAACCTAATTAACTGACGAAAACTGCCGTTAATTCAACTGGTAAAAGATATGTGTTTGTGGAGAAGGCGCGGCCGCCCAGCCCCAGCCCTTGCCGGAGCTGGAATGGGCTCCCGGGCACCAGGCCGCGTGGACGCGACGCCCGGGACGCGGAGGCAGAGCGGATCCGGCGGGGGTGGGGGGGTGGGGGAGCACGTGATCGGAGTCCGGCCCTCCGACCTCAGTGCCACCCCGCGATGGATAAAAGAGAGAATCCGCGCTAATGGGGGTCAGAAAGACCAAGGGCATTGAGTGCTGCGGGCTTCCCAGACTCTGCACTGGGCTGCAGGATCCACAGCTCCCTCTGAGGAAGACGGGTCCCATCCTCCCCCGTCTGAGCCCGAGTTCAAGTCCCCAGCGCTGCCCCGCACTGGCTGCCTGAACCTGAGCAAGTGACCTGGCATTGCTAGGCCTGTTTCCTCTGCACGACGTGTTGTGTGATAATAAAAGCTCCTCCTGAGCTGCGCGGTCCTGCACATCCCTTATCTTCCCATCACTAAGTGAGGTTCTCCCAGCAGCGTGCAAGTTACATTTGGCGTCTGGGAAATCAGTCTGCGTCCCTTATTGCCTGGGGAATCTGGGTGGGTTGGCTTTCACTTCCTGACCTTCAGTTTCCTGCCTGTAAAATGGGAATAAATGATCCCTACCTATTCCCACGGCCACTGTGAGAACCGGCTGTGCAACTGTAAAATGCGGTTCATGGTGATACTAACCAACCGGATGCTGGTCCAGAGAAGAGCCCAGACCCGACCCCCGAGACCCGCTCACTGGAGACCACTACCCCCCAAGAGAGCGATGTCACCTCCCCAGCCTCTCTCCACGCGCCTGCCGTCTTTCTCCAGCTCAGATCCTGGATGGAGCGTTGGGTGGGTCTGTGAAGCCAGTCTTGGGTGCAGGGAGCTGTCCGCAGCTTGGTGCTGAACGGAGACGCAGGCGCGACCCCTGCACCGCCTCAGTGCCACAACCCGGGGAGGGAACTTTTGTCTGAGAAGTCCCCGGGGGCCCTGGGGCCCGGCTGCCGGAAACGCCCTAGAGGTCGGCCCGGAGGCGCTGTTGGCCCTCACAGTACAATAGAGGCAGGACAGGCAGGCTTTGCCCCTCCTCTTTCCACTCCCACCTCCCCACTACCCCGGGGGCGTCCTGGCTCTGCGATCGTTGTCACTACCACACCGAATTCTGAGATGCCTTTTAAAAAATCATTAGGAGCCTAAGAATAATTACCGAACGGGATTGTAATTATGGGATGGGGGAGGCCGGGCAGAGGGAAGGGGGATGAGCAGGTGGAGGGTGGGGGTGGCTTTCGGACTGGGATGGAAAATGGGTTCCTGTTTACCTCGGAGGGAAGTGTAACGGGGCGGGGGAGGGTAAAGAGAGGTAGAGTTAGAGCGGGACAGAAGCAAAGCCTAGGAAAGACACATTAATGGAGGGAACAGAGGCAGAGAAAAGGACTGAGCAGATTCTGAGAGAAAAGAGAGAAAGGCAAGGAGGTCCAAGAGAGAGAAAGATGGAAACCGAGGGAGGTGAAAGAGCAAGAGGCCACTCTAGAAGGGACCCCGCAGAGCAGACAGAACCCTTAAACTTGGGGGTAGTTTTTGAGGCTTCAGATAACACGTTAGCCAAGGGGAGGAGGTGACAAACGAGTCAGGCCGGGCCCCCTCTCTCCAAGGGCAAGGCCTGGGCCATCCGTTCGCTCCCCCAGAGGATTCTCCCAGGGTCCCTGCGAGCCAGGGGAGAAGAGAAAAACGAGAGGAGAGAAGTGGACTGATGAAGGAGGAGTGACGAACCCCAGAGGAGGCGGAATGCAGGAGGGGAGAGGGCCTGTAACCCAGAGAGAAAGGGAAAACGAGGGGGCGGGGGCGAGGGCGACCCCGCGCCGCTGGCCGCGGAAGATTTATGGCGCCGTTCGGGTTCCAAGGGCGGGCTGCGCTAGCCGCTGCTGCCAACGTCGGAAGCCGCAGTGGCCGCTGCGTCCCCTGCCCGGGCGGCCCGCCGCGCCCCGGGCCATCCCTGCCATTATTAACTTCTGTTTGATTAGGGTAATTGTTCAAACTTAGGCTGGACAGTATGATTAATTACAGTTTAATTAACGTGTCCATTAAGGACACTTAATGCCATGGGGGGGTTCGAGGGGGCGCCCGGGTATGAACAAATAGGGAGGGGGTGAGACTGGTAACTCGAATGAAGTCGAGACGGAGATTGAAAGGGAGAACACGGTGACCCAAAGGGGTAGTGTGGGGAAAGAATAGTGAAGACAGAAACCTACAGGCAGAGAGGGGAGAGAAGGGTGGAGAGAAATGGAGCTTTGCAAAGAAAGAAGATGCCAAGGGGTGTCTGTAGCATCAGGGGGCTAAATCCCTACCTCGGAGAAACTGAGGTAGCAGGAGAGCTGGAGAAGATTCTAGCAGCCACCTAGAAAGTAGTTGACCCCGGGTATCTCCCAGCGATGACTTAGTGCCTACCCTGGGCAGGTCGCTCTTGGTGGAGGGAGGCAATCAAGGGGGGGAGGGGTGGCCCAAATCCAATTCCACTGCTTAGTGAAGGAGTCGCCCCTCCCCAGGCTGGAGCTGTCCTGACGCCTTCCAACCAAATCAGAAGCGGTGGGGAAAGTTGATTCTGCCCCTTCCCAGCTACCCAGCCCCCATAGCCCACACCCTTATCTCTGCCCCAGCTGGCCGCTGGTTACCCAACTGGCTCCCCGGGGCCACTCTCGGGATCCACTGCTTTGGCCCCAAAGTGCGATGCCCTTCCTCACGCCCCTTCTTCCAGAGCCTTCCTCAGCCCGGTCAACCGGCCTTGGCCCAGACAACTCCTGGCCCTTCGGCGCGGAGAGCTGGGCCCTCCCCACTTCGTTCAGGGAGGCAAACTTTGCGGCCCCAGGCCCTTCCTCCCTCCTGTCCCCTCTGGCGAGCGTGGGCCGCAGGTGCCGGGCGCAGGGCGCAGGTGTGCGGCCGCTTACCTGGGGCGCGCAGACCCGGGAGCTGCAGGAGGCGGCGGGCGCGGCGCGTGGCCCGCGGGCTAGAGGACCCCGGGAGGGCGCGAGTGACTGCGCGGGCGGTGGGTGTGGCGCCCCGGCTCGCAGCTGTCAGGCGCGCCCGCTCCGCGCCGGCCTCGCCACTCGGGCTGTGATCGCGCCGTGCCCGTCGCCGCGCCATGCGCTCCAGGCTTCGGCCTCGGCTCCGGGCCCGTCCGGGGCCTCGGGGGCAGCGGCGCCGGGCACAAGTCTTCGCTCAAGGGGCCCTGGCGTCCCGCGCCCGCTGAGAGCTGGCGCCGCGCGGGAGGGGCCAGCGGGGCCGCGGGTGTGAGCGCGAGGAGCCCGGGAGCGCGGCTGTGCGCGCGCGCGGGGAGGGGCCGCGCCGTCACCCGGAGAGCCCGGCGGATCCCGGACTCCCGCCCGCCGCTCCGCCCGCCGCGCACCTCCTCTCACCGCTCGCCCGGCTCCAGCCGCCGCCGCACGGTGAGTACCCGCGTCCGGTCGCCCGCAGCCCCCGCGCCCTGCCCCTACAGCTTTTTTCGTTTAGTTCCGATTTGGGTTCTAGCGGCTGTTGTTTTTATTATTATACCTAAAGACTCCATCGCCTCACTCCCACTGCTGTCCGCCTCCCGCCTCGTCGCCCTCTCCAAGCTCACCCCTCAAGCCCCAGGAGCCGGAGAGGGCCCCGCAAGCAGCCCTGGCGGCTGCTCCTGGCCGCTGCGTACAGCTCATTGCCCGGGCTTTCCGCTCTGGCCCTCGAAATTCGGCTCCTTTCCTAGGGCCCCCCTTCTCCTGGCTCTGGGGCCCAGAGCCCCCTCCACTCCGGAAAAGCCCGCGGGGCCCCCAGACCCGCAGCTTGGAGAGGACGCGCTCTGCCCTGAGGAGCACCCTTCACTGCATGCGGGCAGGGCACACTTGCAGGTTTCGGGAAACCGAGAAGACATCGTCATTTCCCAGAGCCGCGGAGCCCTCCCCCCCCCGTCACCTCCCCAAGCCCACCTGAGAGCTCTTCAGGGGGGTGCAGGGCTTGCGTCGGCTGGGGAGTTAGGACAGTGTTTTTGCCTCCTAAGATGTTACAAGGGACTTCAACGTGAAAGGAGGGTCAACTTGTTTCAATTCGATCCGCGGAGATGAAGATGAAACAGACAGATAACAGATAAATAGCTTGATACTTGAAGAAGGTATGAAGACAGATGGGAGAAAGAGGAGCGAGCTGGGAGAGACAGGCAGCTCAGGGACAGATAAGATCGACAGATGAGGGGGCACCTAGACAAACAGGGAGGGGAAGAGACAGACAGAAGAGGAGCCCAGTCTCTTCAATGAAGGCTTTTGAACACGGATCCCGTGTCTCGCAGGAGCTGCCCCTCTGAAAATGGATTTGCCTTTCCTGACGAGTTTAGGGGAGGGGCCCACGGGGTTGAGCTGCCTGGGCCTCAGGAGCGCCTGCAGCCGTGGGCCAGATGAGAGCCTTTGGTGTCTGAGGACACGTGGCAGGGCCAGGCGACCTAGAGGGCCCCAAACATCAGTCCCTGGGTCCTCCCGCTGCTGAGGTCCTCGGGAGAGGCTGCCTCCCTGCCTGGGCCAGAGATCAAAGCGTGGGACCGGCAGCAACTTTTGACCTGGAGCCTTGTGGCTTCGGACACCGGCCAGGATTCTTCTCAACCCGTATGAACTGGGACAGCCCGGCTTGAAGTATACTCAGAGAGGAGACGCCCCCAAAAGAGGAAGCCCAGAGCCCGGAGAGACTGCACTTAGCCTGAGCAGGAAAGGCATATCTGAAGAAGGAGGAAAACTTAGGGAATGGGCTGTTAGAAGCAAAGAAGTGGCTCCTGAGAAACTTCCTCGAGAACCCCTCTGTCCCCACGCGCTAACCCGGATGGAAACCGGCTTTGGTCCGGAACGCAGCTAAAAATGCAGAAAATGTGGTTAGGAACTGCGTGACCCTGGTTCCACTGATGGCTGGGGAAAAAAACGGTTTGTATTTCCAGCCGGAATCTTTCTGCTCAACGAAAGCGAGGCTCAGGGCGTGAGAGGAGAAGCTCGGATTTGTGGAAACCAGTGCTGTTATTCCGGGGAACCGGCTTGGCACGGAACTGGGTGCGGTGGGGGCCGCCCTGGGGCTAGGCGCGCGCAGAGTGCTTTGGAGAGCCGGGTTCAGCACCGCGAACAGCGGTCGTCTCAGCCTCCTTCCCCCCGCCTCCCCCCGCCCACGGCCTCGAGACCCTCCTCCTTCTCCTTGCCCCCCCCGCCCCCTGCTGTCTGGAGATGGGCAGTGACCGCCCCTCCCCTGTCCGTACCCCTCCCAGCGCCTCCCCCGCCCGCCCGCGTGCATGCGCGACTGAGCAGAGGGGCAGCCTGTCCCCGAAGTCCGGGCTTCAGGACCCGGGCGGGTAGGGCAGGCTGCGAGGGTAGCCAAAGGCGCACGGATCTGGACGTTGGGAAGCCTGGGTTAGGCAATGGCTTTGCTGTGTGGCCTTGGGCAAGTCACTCTCCGTCTCTGGGCCCCACTTCCTCCACAATCCGAAAACAAAATTGGGTTCCTAGCTGCCGGGGCATTCTTGAGGTCTCAATTACCCCTTCTTCTCCCCCAAACCCCGGGGGCTTTTGCTGTGGCGCCAGCACGAGTCTGAATAACAAAAGGCTCCCGTCCAGGGGACGAATGAGCTTGGACTCCCCATAGCCAAGTTTCCCCGCGCGCCCAACTCGGCGCACCCCGCTGGGCGGGCCGAGCCACGGTGGCGCTGAAAATGGCTCATCTGCTCTCTACTTTCTCTGTTTCGCAGGAGCGGCGGCATGGAGGCTCTCACCACTCAGCTGGGGCCGGGGCGCGAGGGCAACTCCTCACCCAATTCGAAGCAGGAGCTGCAACCCTACTCGGGCTCCAGCGCTCTCAAACCCAACCAGGTGGGCGAGACGTCGCTGTACGGGGTGCCTATCGTGTCTCTGGTCATCGACGGCCAGGAGCGCCTTTGCCTGGCGCAGATCTCCAACACTCTCCTCAAGAACTACAGCTACAATGAGATCCACAACCGCCGGGTGGCCCTGGGCATCACGTGCGTGCAGTGCACGCCAGTGCAGCTGGAGATTCTGCGTCGGGCCGGGGCCATGCCGATCTCCTCGCGCCGCTGCGGTATGATCACGAAGCGCGAGGCCGAGCGCCTGTGCAAGTCGTTCCTGGGAGAGCATAAGCCACCCAAGCTGCCCGAGAACTTCGCCTTCGATGTGGTGCACGAGTGCGCGTGGGGCTCGCGTGGCAGCTTCATCCCCGCGCGTTACAACAGCTCGCGTGCCAAGTGCATCAAGTGCGGCTACTGCAGCATGTACTTCTCGCCCAACAAGTTCATCTTCCACTCGCATCGCACACCCGACGCCAAGTACACGCAGCCCGACGCCGCCAACTTCAACTCGTGGCGCCGTCATCTCAAACTCAGTGACAAGTCGGCCACAGACGAACTGAGCCACGCTTGGGAGGACGTCAAGGCCATGTTCAACGGAGGCACCCGCAAGCGGACTTTCTCGCTGCAAGGAGGCGGCGGCAGCGCTAATGGCGGGTCGGGTGGGCAGGGGAAGGGGGGTGCTGGCGCCGGGGGCGGCCCGGGCTGCGGGGCAGAGATGGCCCCAGGCCCGCCGCCCCACAAAACCCTGCGCTGTGGCGAAGACGAGGCCACCGGGCCTCCTGGGCCGCCTCCTCCCCATCCGCAGCGGGGACTTGGTCTAGCGGCGGGAGCCGGCGGCCCGCCGGGCCCTGGAGGGCCTGGTGGCGGCGCCGGCGTACGCAGCTACCCCGTGATCCCTGTGCCCAGCAAGGGCTTTGGCCTCTTGCAGAAACTGCCCCCGCCGCTTTTCCCTCATCCCTATGGCTTCCCCACGGCCTTCGGCCTCTGCCCCAAAAAGGACGACCCGGTGCTAGGCGCGGGCGAGCCCAAGGGAGGCCCAGGCACCGGGAGCGGCGCGGGCGCGGGCCCTGGCGGAGGCGCGGGCGGGCCCGGATCCGGCCACTTGCCCCCCGGGTCAGGCCCTGGCCCGGGCGGCGGCGCCATGTTCTGGGGTCACCAGCCCTCTGGGGCAGCCAAGGACGCAGCGGCCGTGGCTGCAGCGGCCGCCGCCGCCACCGTGTACCCGACGTTTCCCATGTTCTGGCCGGCGGCAGGCAGCCTCCCGGTGCCGCCCTATCCAGCTGCGCAGAGCCAAGCCAAGGCCGTGGCGGCCGCCGTGGCGGCGGCGGCGGCGGCGGCGGCGGCGGCTGCCGGCGGCGGCGGCCCTGAGTCGCTGGACGGTGCCGAGCCGGCCAAGGAGGGCGGCCTGGGCGCAGAGGAGCGCTGTCCTAGCGCGCTGTCCCGCGGGCCGCTGGACGAGGAAGGCGCTGACGAGGCGCTGCCGCCGCCTCTGGCCCCACTGCCCCCGCCACCTCCGCCCGCCCGCAAAGGCTCCTACGTGTCGGCCTTCCGACCTGTGGTCAAGGACGCCGAGAGCATCGCCAAGCTCTACGGTAGCGCCCGCGACGCGTACGGCGCCGGGCCTGCTCGGGGGCCGGGGCCGGGCGCGGGGGCCGGCGGCGGCTACGTGAGCCCAGACTTTCTGAGCGAGGGCAGCTCCAGCTACCACTCCGCCTCGCCCGACGTGGACACTGCCGACGAGCCCGAGGTGGACGTGGAGTCCAACCGCTTCCCCGACGATGAGTGCGCTCCAGACGACGCCGAGCCGGGCGTACCCAGTGCGCCCAGCGCGGGAGGCGGCCCGGACGCCGACCAGCCCGCCGGGCCCCCGTCTACCACCTCCTCGGGCGCCGACGGTCCCACAGACTCCCCAGACAGCGGCAGCCCCCGTCCCCGGCGCCGCCCAGGGCTGCCAGCAGCCAGCCGGTCAACATTTGGGGACCTGGCGGCCGACGACGGGGTGCGGAGACCTGAGAGGAGCCCGCCGAGCGGCGGCTATGAGCTGCGAGAGCCTTGCGGGCCGCTGGGGGGCCCCGCGCCGGCCAAGGTGAGCCCCGCACCCGCCTCGCTGGTGGCGCCTCCCCGCTTACCCCTCGGCACCTCGGGGATGTGGGGCAGGCACTGGCCAAGTTAGGGACGGGAATTGTGTTCGGAGCCGGCGTTCGAGCGGCAGGCCCCAGCTGCTCTGGGTAGGCCCAGCTTCGGTAGCGCTGCGGGCCTTGCCGGGACCTCTGAGTGAGGGTTTCGGAAAATCCGGGGGTGTGTGGGGGCGCAGCAGGCCTGAGAAACGGGTGTGCTACGTTTTTTGTTGGGTGGGGGGAGGGGCGGTGGAGACAGGCAGAGACCTTCAGCAACAAAGACAGAAAGAGAGAAATAAAAGGGGTCTGGAGAAAGAACGCGGAGCAGAGAAAGGGACCCAACGCCAGAGAAAAGTGCGTGCGGGGCTGGGCCATGGCACACGCACCCAGATGCGGATCAGGGCCCCGGGGAAGACAAGCTGATGGGGAGAGGAGAGGACGGCGTCTCCCTCAAGCGGGGCCCCAGCAGGACCGGTGCCGGAGTCTTCCTCCACCCCAACGCGTAGTTTTCTGAGTCCCTTTGAACTCCGGCCTTGGGAACCGCAGGGTTCCTGGTAGGCAGCTGTCCAGACGGCTTGCGGGGCGGGAGAGGGGCTCCCAGGTTGGCTGGGCCACGGGTTCGGGTCGGGGCTGTGCAACTAAGCCGAATTCGTTGGCCATTTGAAAGTGGGTGCGCATACTTGTACATTTCCATTAGGTCCATTAAAACACGAATCATTAGCTGGATGCGAAAGGCGTCATTTATGGGGGAACTGGGTGAGGGCTGGTGGAAGATGCCGAAAAGGAGATGGGCGAAGAGGGGGGGTGGCCCGCTGTGAACAGTACTTGGGCTTGAGAGCCGCTTTGTCTTTCTGATAATTTATCGAGGACGCTAATAATGACCCTGAAACTACAACGGTGATGCGGCCTCCGAGGGCGCCAGGCTGCGCCGCGTGCCTCATAGCCGCCGGGGGCGCTCGGGTCCCCCGGGCTAGCTGACCTCCCCTCTCAGCTCTCCCTCTCGGCCGCGGCGCAGGGCCGAACGGCCCCCGAGCCGCTTCAAGCGCCCCCCTAACCGCCTGTCATTTTCGGCCGCCGCAGGTGTACGCGCCAGAGCGGGACGAGCATGTGAAGAGCGCGGCGGCGCTGGGGCCCGCGGCCTCCTACCTCTGCACCCCCGAGGCCCACGGTAACGCCCCCAGCCCCCCTGCCGAGGTCGCTGGCCAATGTGACGTGGGAACCGCGGGCGGAGGGCCGGGGCGGGCGGGGGGGGGGCGGTCCTGCGAGGGAAGACGAGAGGAGAAAAAAAGAGAGGCAGAGAAAGCGAGAGAGGGAAAGAAAAATAAAGGAAAAGGAAGCTAAGTAAGAACTCCCAATAACTTCCATCGTTTGGTCACTCAACAAACCTCCCGGCCCACCACACATACACACGCTCACGTGCACCTCACACACTGGCTTCAATCCTTTTTAAAATCGCGCCTGGCACCTCTTTCAAGTCCTCTCATTTATTCAGCAATTGTTTTGGCCTCGACGTCCTGCTCGGCAGGCCGGGTTAGGGCGGAGGGTGCGGGCGCTCGGCTGCGCGCTTGGACACCCCTGAAGCGCCGGGTAGCTGCGGCCCAACCGGGGGGAGCCCTTCACGTGCGCCAGGCCCCAGTGGCTCGAAGAGGAGGGGCGGAGGGCCTCGGAAATCCGGGCAGGCCGAGCCCGAAAGGATGTCTCCCCTGCCGCCACCCTGCGCGGGTCGCCGCCTGGGCCGCGTTCTCGGCGGGAGCGGCGCAGGCAGACCCGGCGGCCACGCGCGCTCGCGGTGCCCCAGTATCTGCGCGCGATGTAGGTCGCTCGTCCCTGGTGGGCTCGGCTGCTCGTCTTGTTCTTTTCCGAGGGGCTGGGGAGGGGGCGTGGAGCGCGAGATGAGCAGACCGCGCGCGGGGGAGGGGGTGCCCGGCCCAAAGCCTGAGGGTGCAAGCCCAGGCGCACAGCCGGGAACCAGCGGCGGCCACAACGCTTTTAATTAGGGCTCGGGCGCCCCGACCGTGGCAGCTCTGGCCGTATCGGGGTCACGGTTTCTTTGCTTCTCCTTGAAACTCGGTTTATTGCCTTTAAGAACCAGATAAGGAAGACAATCACTCGACCGCCGACGATTTGGAAACGAGGAAATCCTATCCAGACCAAAGGAGTATCTCCCAACCAAGTCCCGCAAATACAGACCGAGGTGAGCCCTAGGACCCTCGCGCACCAACCCCACCCGGAAGCTGGGGCCCAGGTCGCCCAGGTGCCCACCGTTTCTGCTTGCGAAAGGGGTTTTCGATCGAGCGTAAGCGGCTGCTGGTCCTCTCGTGCGGCTGGCTGATACATATTTAAACAGCGCGCGCGAGAGGTGCAGGCTAGGTTTTCTGAGTTGCTTTCCTCCTTAGTGGGTTCGGGGCTCTTCCGGGTAAGAGAAGGGGCTGTGCTAAAAGGAAATAAGAGACACCATCACCCACATGAAGCAAGTCAGAGGGCAGGTCCGGCCCTAAGATAGCCTACCTTCCCTGAGTCCATTGTCCTTCTTCAGTGGGTCACTTTGTAAAACGAGGGCCACACCCCTAAAATGATAGCTTGGAAGGTAGATGGTACTCGATGCCTGTAACTGTCTCTTCTAAAGGCAGAAGATCTGGAGCAGCTCCCTGACTTAGCACTGTTCCCAGCAGCTCACCCTTCCCCTCCCAAGGCCTCTCCCAGGATAGAACCCCTCTTACCTGCCCTTGTATCCCAGGTGAAGATGGGCTCACCCTGGATATCACAGGAACTCAGCTAGTGGAGAAAGATATCGAGAACCTGGCCAGAGGTGAGGTTAAATCTGTGAAATGGGGCTACACCCTGCTTGGGGGGAGATGAACCATTCTTGTAGGGGAGTGTGTGGGAAGACAGGGTTCTTGGGGAATCAATTTTCATTGAGTGGAAAGGATAATCCTCTGGGCACATGATGCTGGCACAGAGGTGTGGGGTGGGAGGGAGTGGGGAAAGTGAACCAAACCCCTAGAGGTTCATTAGAAGTTTGGATTCCCAAGGCTGGCCTATCTGAAAAGCCCAGTGAAAGAGAGCAATGAGTAATGATCCTCAGAACTTGATGCATGTGACAGATAGGGCAATCTGGGTCTCCCAACCTCACTGGAAAACAGGACTTTTTCTGAAAAGCAAGATTGCAAGAAGGCATTTATTTTAGGAATGTCTGAGAGGTTAATTTTTTCCTGGAATTAATGCATAACCACCACCACCACCACCACCCCCGCCACACACACACACAGCGTGCCCTAAATGGGGTGAGGATAGAGCCTGCTTTCAGAATGGGATCCTGGGGTTGCTGCTCCACCTGCAGGGGGAGTGCGTGCCTTGAGACACAGAGGACGGGAGCCTCTGACCCCACTTTGCTCCTCTACCTCCCATTTCTGTGTTTCCTCAGCACCTGCTCAGGGTGGGATTTCTCAGAGAGACTCCCCAGGAGGAGGACCCAGATCCCAATAGCTCCATGGTCAGGGCAGCCCCTGCCATCTCTCTGTAGCTGGTTCTGAGGGCACGGACGGGGCTTTCCACATCCACCTGCTATCCACCACACTGCCCTCAACCAGCCCAGGGATGGGCTTGGAAAGTGGTGTGGGAAGGGGAAGAAGAATTGGTGGTCTTTCACTCTTCCTAGTCACAGATTATAAAGGATATGCAATTACCTTCAACATCATTGGTCCTTTATATAAGAGCTCTTAGTATGGATTTGGGGGCCTGGGACCCCCTGAAATTGTGAACAAGCTGTTGTGCGTACAGGTATTTTTCAGGGCAGGGGTCCAAGTCTTTGACCAGATTCACCCAGCTCGTATAATTGAAGAGAGGGATTAGGTGTGTCATTTGGAGGGGTAAATCAAGTCCTGGGCCAGCCTCTAAGGTTAGGGAGTTGGGAACAACTTAAAGCAGATGCCATGCTGGTTAGCGCCTGGAGCCAGGGCCTAGAAGCCCAATATGGCTTCCACCATCCTGAATTTAATTCCCCTGGGCAACTTGTTTCCTCGCCCCAATCCTTTGGAAGCAAATGGGAAAACAGTGTAGAGGGCCTCTACCTCCTGGCCCCACCACTCCACAACTCCCATCTCAGGGTCTCCCGGCTAGGGCAGGACCTGCAGAACCTTGGTGCTGGTAGTTGGGGGGTGGGGGACGCCTGAGTCCCGCGCACCCTCCTTTACCTCCCACTCTCGCCCCCTCACAGACGAATTGCAAAAACTGCTCCTGGAGCAAATGGAGCTCCGCAAGAAACTGGAGCGAGAATTTCAGAGTCTCAAAGGTACCCCCACCCCGACCCACCTCACCCTAACTCAGCACGAGAGCCTTCTTCGTGCGCGCCCGGAGCCCAGGCCAGGCAGCCGCGGCTGCGCGCCCCGCACCAGCCGCCGAACCCTGCTTTTCCGGGGCTTCCCGCCAGGCCCGAGACCGAAGGGGTGGGGGCGGGAATGGGGAGTGGGGAAATGGGGCCGAGGGAGCTGTGACGCACAGCCCCCACTTAATCAATTTGCACAGATAATTTTCAGGATCAAATGAAGAGGGAATTGGCTTATCGAGAAGAAATGGTGCAGCAGCTGCAAATCGTCAGAGGTAAGACGCGAGTCAGGTGAGCGCGTGCACGGGCCGTAACTGCCTCTCGTCTGGCAGGAGCCGCAATGTTGGCTCAGTCATTTGGATTTAAATTGAAGGTAATTTAACAATTATTTTTTTTATTTAATATCCTTTGTATACTCTGATTAGCCTCAGAATGGCAAGCGAGCCCAGCAAACGGCTTGCAGGCATCATTACATGGAGTGATTGAACTTCTTATCGCGGCAATTTCCGTGGTTTCTAAATTAAAAATCGAGGCGTAAAATTACCTGGGAAGTAATGCCTAAGTTTGCTTTAATTTTGGTTAGATCCGTCTGCCTTTAAGCGCCATCCCAGGCCTTTTCCTCCCTCCTCCAGGCTGCAGTTTGGGGCATTGATGCTCCCTCCCTCGGTCTCCCGGATTTGTTTCTTCGAGGGGCTGAGCGCTGGGGAGAGGGTGAGGCCCGGGCTATGACCCTGGCCGGCTGGAGGGTGGTCTCATTTCCTCACCGGCCCCTCCCCATGTCTTCCAGACACACTGTGTAACGAACTCGACCAAGAGCGGAAGGCGCGCTATGCCATCCAGCAGAAATTAAAAGGTGCGGATGCTGGGGAACAAAGATAGGACTGTTGCCAGGCTCTGGCTGTGCCACTGAATGAATGAGTGAATGAATGATGGCGGATGAGTGAGTGGATGGTGAATGAGCTAATGAATGGATGAGTAAATGGAGGGGCCAGTGAGAGGGGAAGACCAGGTCTACCTAGATCAGAAGCCAAGAGGAGGGAAATGGGGATTTTTTTTTTTAAAGATTTTATTTATTTATTTGAGAGAGAGAGAATGAGAGATAGAGAGCATGAGAGGGAGGAGGGTCAGAGGGAGAAGCAGACTCCCTGCCGAGCAGGGAGCCCGACGCGGGACTCGATCCTGGGACTCCAGGATCATGACCTGAGCCGAAGGCAGTCGCTTAACCAACTGAGCCACCCAGGCGCCCGAAATGGCGATTTTTTTTAATGGGGAAATAATTCTAGAACGATAGAATAGGGAGAAAGAACCCCTTGAGCCCTGGGCATTGGGAAATCTGCCGTGGGATCCAAATCTGGCCGTGGGCAGATTGACTTCCCTCTTTCTGTGCCTCAGTTTCCTCTTCTGCATAATGGGGCTACTGCACCAGCGCAGTGGTTCTAAATCGCCAGGTTCTCTCGCTTACCCGCCTACCTTTTTCTGATCCGTTCACTTGAGAACCCCTGAGCCAGAAGGGGGTGGGTGAGACTCCAGGAGGGCAGGGGAAGGGCGGGGCGAGTGGACGGAGCCGGTAGGCCGCGCGGGCGAGGCTAGGCAAGCGAGGTGCTCAACCTGGCCCGCCGGACTGTCTTTCCAGAAGCCCACGACGCCCTGCACCACTTCTCCTGCAAGATGCTGACGCCCCGCCATTGCACGGGCAACTGCTCCTTCAAGCCCCCGCTCTTGCCCTAGGGCCGGCCCGGCCGCGCCCACGCGCCCTCAAGCCATGCTGCTCTCTTCTTGTAAATACCCGCGGCCGCGGCGGCCGAGAGCGAGGAACAAGCCATTCGGATACGACCGATGTACATACAGCCTCCCGCCCGCCCGCCCTCCGCCAGGGCGCCTCGGCCCAGGGCCCCTTCTCCGTTTCCAAGTGTAAATACCACCTCGCCCCACGGTTGAACTCCAGGGCATCGGACCTCATGGGGTTAACTGGACCGAAGGGGGTAAGAAAGGGGAAAGGGGGGGCCTCCCCCGCCCCACACAGCCTCGGATCCCCAGTTGTGTACACACTGTAGCAACTTCGCGGGCGCTGGCCCCGCGGCTCCCCCGTCCCGTCCACTTCTGAAACTTGTTCCTAATGACAAAGTGGCTATGTGCAATGGATATAAATGTACTGTGAGTCTCTCTTGGTTCAGTATTGGGTTCCGTTTGATTTATGCTGTAAATTATTTTGCTTCCTTCTCCTGGACCTACTTCCAGTCCCATTTTGCATTCCCCTTTGGGTTTTGTTTTGTCTATTTTTTTTTTTTTTCTTGTTAACCTCTTGATGTAACAGCACTTTAAAAAGGGCAACAACTGACTCACGAGATGGAGACCACCTTGAGCCTGTTTGGGGAGACCACCCTGTATCCGTGACTTTTGTTTTGTTTTTAATAAAAAAAGAAACCTGTCACTTCCTGGGGCTGTGGAGGTGGGAGTGCGGGGGTGGGGGGAACGTGGGCGGCGGCGGGCTGAGGGCTGCGCAACAGGTGGGGCTCCAGGACCTCAGGCGCGAGTTCTGGGGCGCCCGGGCTGAGAATCACCGGGCTCGGGTGGGCAGCAGCGAGCGCCCCGACCTCTCTCCCAGTCCTTCAGGCACACCGAGTTTGCCCCCCAGGCCACCCTCTCCCCGCGTTTGGGACCCTCCCTAGAGCCTCTCGGCCCGGGATAGGAGGACTACGGCGGCCTCCTGGGTGCCATGGTCTCCGACTCTTCCCTGGAGCTCTCGCCAGGGCCGAGGGTTTAGTCGTGCCCACTTCCACGCCTGCCCCACCGGGAAGTCACCCCCAGCGTTCTCTCAGGGACGGGACGCCGCCCGGAAGCCTAGGTTCAAGCAGAATTGCCGGGAGGCACGGGCACCGCCCACCTGGCCCGGGGGAGCTGGGGTGGGCCGGGGGCGGGGGACGAGGTACGTCGGGGGGACCTCGGCTGGGCACGCCTGGAAGGGAAGGGCGTGATTCCGTGCTCGTGCACAGATGTCCTCCTGCCTGTCCCTCCTCTACCCCCACGGAGGGAGCTGGCAGTTTTTAATGTTCTGTCCGTTTCAGTCCGAGAGTGTGCGCGGACATGGAGCAGCGCAAGGAGCCAGGTGAGGCCCCCCTGTGCTGGAATCAGGTCGTCTCCACTGGGGGATGAGGGGTGTCAGGGTGTGTGTGACAGGGGTAGGTTCCTGGCCGCGGTTGATGAGGCCTCAGCTTGCTGCAGGCCTCTCATCGGCCTCAGTTTCCACAGCGCACCTGCTGGTTAGGCTACAGGTAAAGGATGGAAACTGCAGCGCACTTTTTCGGGCAGGGGGGGGGGGGGAAGAGTGTGCTCGGAGCGGGAAAGCGCCGGGTACTGGGGCTCATTCGGTCCTGGCTTCCAGTTTCACCTCCTCGGCTGACTCGCAAGGGTGCTGTGTCGCTCCCCTTATTCCTCTAGGCCTCCGTTTTGGCCCACATAGAATAACCCTCGGGCCTCCTGCCCCGGCGCGCGGGGAAGCGCTCTGGAGGGGAGCGGAGCGGAGCGCAGGGCCGCCGGTCGAGGCCCTCCGACATCCCGGGGATCTCCGTGCGCTTCTCCGGCCCCCCGCCGCGGGGCCAGCCCCTCGGGCCTGGGAGCTCTGGGCTGCGCGGGCCAGGAAGCTTGGTGGCGGGGCGTCTGGAGGGCCCGGGGCGGGGCGGCGAGCAGGGGGCGCGCGGCGGGCCGAGGGGATGGGGCGCGGGCGAGGAGCCCGCGCGCGCACGCGGCGGAGGCAGGAGGCGGGTCCCCGGAGGCTGGGGCTCACAGCCCTCCTCCAGTCCCGGGATATTCCGAGGGCCAGTCACAGAGAGGACACGACAGAAATAACGGCGGTGAGGGCTCCGGCTAAGCCGTGAGGTGTCGCCCGGGGAAGAAGTCACCTCGGGAGGCGCGGTGTCCCAGCAGGAACACCCTACGCGCGAGCGTTTCCTAGGGTGGAATGAACCAGATCAGTTCCCCACTGCACCAACGGTGACACTGAGGGCGGAGAGGAAGGGACTTGCGTGCTCAGGGCGTGCGGGGGCCGAGCGGCGGGCGGATGCGCGCAAGAGCAGGTGTTTTGGAGAGCACGAGCCTTTACCCCCTGGCATGGCCACGCCTTTGGAAGCCGCACTTCCTTCTCGGGGAAACGGGAATGACAGGCACTACCCGGGCAGGAAGTTCCGTGGCCGCGGCCCACACAGAGGAGCCCAGCAAATATTCCTTTCACCTTCCCTTTCTGAATTCCCCCGAAGTGGAGGGGTGGGGGAGGGAGAAAGGCCGTAGGCAGCTGGGGCTCTTCCGAAAGGGCGCCCCATCTGGGCCGGAATCCCTGCAGATTGGAGGTGTAGGCGGATCCGACCCAGAAAGCTTTGTCGCAAACCCCTCCTGGGTTCCTCGTCCCTTCAGAAGTGGTTTGTTCTCCCCCAAATGTTAATAACCGAACGATTGGTATGGATGTAATTATCAATAATTATACGAATTATTGCTGATTGCGGGGCTCGTAGCTACTTTAATTAGTTTACCAGATTCTAATTAAGTTAAATGAAACATTAATAGGGAAAATATGCTTTGGGGAAAAAAACAACCCAGGATTTTTTAAAAAGTCTATTTCTCGCCACAACGTTGCCACCTTGCGACACAATTTAGGTACGACAGCCAACGTCCGAAGGCCCCAGACTAGGGAGACTTGTCTTAGGGAGAAAAAGTGGGGTTTGGGGAATTGCTAGAGGGCTGTGGAGCACAGAACATTCTCCTGGGTGTTCCGCCGAGGTGTTCGGTTTCACACTCCTGGCTTCGGGAGGTGCCCACAAGAGGTCCGGCTCTGGAGTCCAGGGTCTGGGGATTAAGAAAGAAGCAGGCAAACATGGCTTGACTTTTCACCCCCCTGGGAGGAAATCCCCAACTCCGTCTATCCTGCAAATCTGGGTGACCTGTCGGCAAAACAAACAAAACAAAACAAAAACAGCTGGAAGATCTCTGGATTCCTGGGACTAACCTCTTCATTCCTGTGGCACTTGGTTAATGAAACTCAGGGGGTGTTCATGTCTCTGAGTTCTCCTTGGTTGTGTGTGTCTGTTTCCCCTAGGACTGTAAGTACCCTGGCAACAGGGGCCACGTCTTGCTCTTCCTTGTGATCTCCAACACAGGGCCCAGTGCATCCCAGTAGCTCAACAGATGTCTCAAGGAAGGGATTCCAACTCTGGTTCCTCTGGGTGCTAGAAATGTCCGAGGGGAGGAGTCCCTAGGTGCTTCTGGACAACAGCTATTGGGAGGCAATTGAGCTCATTTGCTTTATATTAATAAAGCACAAGTTTATTGCTCAGATGACCCTTCATCAATAGGATTATTTGGGGGGGCAGGTGTCTGGTAAGAGATTGTCAGCCTAGGAAAACTTTCTTCCTCTTCCAGCTGTGTCCCAAAGAGGGTGCTCCTTCACTCCTTCACATTTTGCAAGTTCACCATGCACATACCTGTCCACTTATTTCCAGCTACCCTGATCTAAAGTATAACCTTGAACCTTTGCAAAAATACAACCCCTGCCCTTGAATTCAGAACACCAGCAAAAGCAGAACTGGACCCCTATGCTCTTTCCATTCATTCTAAACAGCTTTATCTCTCACTCTCTACCATCCAAGGTGGTGTAGTGTTTGGTTAAGAGCACAAGCTCTCTAGGCAGATTTCCTGGGTCTCAACCCCTTCTCTGTTATTTACTAGTTGTGTGACATTAGGCAAGTTGTTGAATCTCTCTGTGCCTCAGCTTCCCCATCTGTAACAGAAGGCGGGAGAGGGTATCTACTTCACAGAACTGAGCAGAGCCAGGAAAATCAGCCAGGTCTCTGGCTTTTCCAGGACAAAGACTTGCCTGTCTTTCCTCATCTCTGCTCCAAGACCAGGGGTCATACCAAGTGGAATAACAAGTTTCTTTAGAAGGAGAGTGAGTCACGCCAACATTGGTCCTTTCCTTGTTTGGCATCTCAGAAGGAGACTTTGAAAACTGCTCATCCAATTACCCAAGTTCCTCCTAAGAACCAGGCATGTTTGGGGGAAGAAAGGAAAACCAAAGCTTGTCCTCCGACTCCATGCACTGGAGGCCGTGAGCCGAGGAGAAGGTGCAACGAGAGGTCCCACAGACCCCCATTCTCGGCTGTTACCTGGAAAGGATCATTTCACCTCACTGAAGGGAACAGAAATGGATCCCTGATGGAACGCTGCTTGGCAGCTCCGAGCGCCCGCCGGGAGAGGACCCTCCGCTGCCTTGGGGCGGCTCTGGGGCTAGGCGTCTGCTGCCTGCCCGAACTGTGGGGAGCCCAGAGCCTGGGAGGTGTGCGGCCCCTGGAGGCAGACCAGCTGCTCTCCCAGCGGCTGCAGAGACCGGGGGGCCCACTACGAGTGTGCTCAGGCACCAGCAAAGCATGTGCACCAACATTTTTTCTCCCGGAAAGAAACCTCTATTTCAAAACACATTGATAAAGTCAGCGCAGGAAATCTGAACTTTACTGGACTTTCCTCCGCTTCCCATCTTACTAAGTAGGACTGTACTTTTTGCAATCATTACATGGGGGCAGGGTCCCGATCTTTTCCGGGCCTGTGCCTCCAAAGGTCTCGTCGGGCCTTGCGGCAGCCACTTACTAATTATATGATCATGGCCAGGGTGCTTTACCTCCCGGGGTCTCCTGTAAAATGCTGACAATAGTACTCACAAGGCAGGGCTGTCAGGAATACTGAGCTATTGGAAGCCCCTGGCACATGGTAGATGCTTAAGAAGGAGTGGGCATTATTATGTTTTTAAGATTCAGAGGCAGCATGAGGAGTCTTGCTTGTTACGTGTCCTGTTACAGTCCCCTCGGGTCTATTTGAGCACTAGGGTCCTGTTATGTTTTGGACCTGAAGCGGGTTAACTTTGGCAAATCCGTTTCCTTAAGTGTAAGGTTCCGTAGGACTCAGGATAGTGCAGGGGGAAGCAGGGGCAACACCGGGAAAGATCAAAGCCTGGGGTCAGGCGTAAAAAGCAGGGCAAAGGGAGAATCTAAGCCCCACCTCCTCTCATTCTATCTCCTGGGACTACAGCTTCCTTTGTGTGAAAGGAAAGATAAAACCTGTAGGTTCAAAGTGTTTGCACCCAGGGGTAGGTAAACTCTGGTGCAAAATATGGAACGCTTCACGAATTTGCGTGTCATCCTTGCGCAGGGGCCATGCTAATCTTCTCTGTATCGTTCCAATTTTAGTATATGTGCTGCCGAAGCGAGCACGATTCCCGAGCTTTCTCAGATAGTATATAAAGCTAGGAACCGCGATACTTTTACAGTTATGGTGACTATGCTGCGCGCTGTTCAAAACCCCAAATATTCAAGGCATTATGACTGTTTGTATCTCGTACATACAGTAATGGTATCTTTGTGATTACGGCCAAATTAAGTCTAATTGTGTCCCTAACCTCCCAACGTTGTGTATGCAAATGAAGGGACCATGGGAAATTGGCCCTCGGGCCGCCCGACCTCTGCGCGCCCCCGGAGGGCGCCGGGAGCACGTTCGGTCACGTGGTGCGCGCGGCTCGCGCGCCTGTTCCGCGCCGGCCGGATTGGGCCCCCAGGGGTCGCGCGCCGGGCTCCTCCGCGAACGCGGTGGCGCAGTGGCCCCTGACACAACGGGGGCGGAGCCAGGGCCTTTGGCTGGGGGCGAGGGGGGAGGGGAGGGACCATGATGAACTTCGGGGTCCGGGGCCCCGAAGCGGCTGCGAGCGGCCGGTCGGGTCGTCCCCGCTCCGGGACCCGTGACCCCGGCGAGAGTTGGAACCACGGACCGTGAACCGGAAGGGGCTGGGCAGGGTGGCCGAGGGCTGCAGCGCGGCGGGGTGGGCCACGGTGCGCCGCTGCTTCCCCTGGGGTGCTCGGGACCCGCGCCCCGTGCTTGGAGCCAAGGGCGGGGGGTATGCTTTGGGGCCCAGGCTCTCCATAGTGTGACTCGGGGTGTGGCATCCTGGGAAAGGTCACCGTGCTTTGGTCCAGCACTGGGCCGGGCCCTTAACCCGACCCGTGTCCTTCCCCTCGATTTGCAGGTTAGAAAACAAGCTCTGGTTGGTTAATCAAGGCCAAAATTGTCCTGCCAGTTGCGAAAGAAGTTGAGCTCTGGAGGCAAGTCTGGTTGCAAAACCCGATCATTTCCTCTTCCCAGGGGAACTCGAGCGAGGAAATATTTGGGACCAGGAGTGGCACCTCCCCTTTCTCTTACCTAGACAATGCTCCCAAGGCCTTATCAGCTCAGACTTTCCTTCCTGCCTTCATTCCTTCACCAAATACCAAGCCCCTATGACGTCAGCGCCGGGGCTGCGGGGCCAACAAGCAGGGCGCTTGGGTTCCAGCAAAGGGAGCCAGGCCAACGTGTCAGAGCATTCTCAGTTCAGTGCTGAGACGGACTGGAAGGGAAGAACCTGGGGGATAGATAGTGACTGGGGCATGAAGGTGGGCAGGAGGGGAGGGGACATTTGAGCTGTCACTTGATATGGATGCAGTCCTGAGAGGACAGGACAGGCAGTACCAGGCAGAGGAAGACCTCGGAGCCACCTGAGTCAGTTTCACGCATCTGGGCAAGTCCTTCAGGCAGGAGAGGCCACTGTGGAGGTAGTTGGTGCCCCGAGGGCCTGCTCTGGCTCAGCTGTGAGCCTGATTCAAGCCACAGCTAGGGAGCACCTGGCCTGACCCTTGGGGACTTTGGAGCCCCTCCCCCACCTGTTTTCAGTGAAATGGAAATCAGGTGCAGGCTGCCCAACTTCTCATCTGACCTCTCTCTAAATAAGCAGTAAGCAAACACAAACCTCAGAATGCTAATATGGCCTTTATTGAGTGAAAAGAGCTAATTTGGGCAATGATGTTTCCCTCAGATTTACAAAAGGGAATTGCAAATAACCAAAAAGCGTATTAGCGTTGATGGGAGATGATGCTAATCTTCAATTAGCATCCACGTTTTTATTCATTTATTTAGAAGAAGAGCCTTTTCGGCGCAGTCCATGCGCACACGTGTCACAGTGACAGGTACATCTCGTGGGTTCATAACTGCCTTATTGCAAAAACCAGCAGGAGATGGACCAAGTTGTTCACCATTTCTGGCTACACGGGCATGTGTTATTTTGAGCCAGAGGTGGGGTTTTTTTGGTCTGTTTTTCTTATTGAGCACAGAGGAGGGACATCTGAGTTCTTGCTTCCATTCCTTCCTGCATCTGTTTTTGTGACCTTGCCCAACTCCCTGGACCTCTCTGGTCCTGTTTTAGCTTCTGCAAAGTGACGAAACTGTCCTAGAGATGATCTTTGCTATCTCTCTCAGCTTTGATATGCTGTGATTTCTTTCCTTTTTTTTTTTTTTTTTTTGGTAACTGGGTAACTGAAGGACTTTTTTGGACTATAATTAGAAAGATGGAAACATTCCACCCTTTTTGTTTTCTATTTTAGAAGGGTGGAGAATTCTGCTCATCCTTGGGTCATGGAAGACCCCGAGAACAGCCGACAGGGGCTGCCGCAGACCGAGGGTCTGGGACCGGCGGAACCCTGCAGCACTCATCCCTGAATCCTGAAGGCCCAGTGTGGAGGAAGCGTGAGGGTGGGGATGAGAGGGGCAGAGATGGATTGGATGTGACATGAAGCTGGAGGACAGATGGATGGAGGGACTTAGTGCGGAGAGAAGCAAGGGGATCCTGCCCCCAGAGACCCCAAGGGGATGGACACTAAAAGGCAACAAGTACATGTCTGCATGGGTTGGTGGTCTCAGAGCTTCAGGGGAAGCCAGTTCCTGCTAGTTCTCAGAGCTGTTGTCTTCCCTCTACTCCGAGACCTGAGGTGGCCTGAGTCCCGACAGTCTTCCCTGAATGTCCTACGCTGCAGGACCTCAAGAGATGCAGAGTGGTTCCCCCAAACCTGTCAGGTGGAGCTTCACACCACTCCGAGTGGGAGAGATCAGAGCCAACTTTAAACTTTGATCAATGAAGAAATGGGCTGTTTCATATTGAAAACATATTGGTGAAGACATGAGATCTTAGGATTCTCTAACATTATTATAGTATTTCCCCTGAAGTCTGGGAGCATTGAGTGTTTCCATATGTCATTCATTTGAAGTAAGAAGAGCCAGGGATTCGCATCAACCCCACCAGAGGGAGGAAGAAGCAGGGATGTGGAGAAGAAGCCGTGGCCTCCTCTGTGCTGGGGACCCTGGGGACAAATGGGCGTTGGTGGTATCCAGGTGTTACCCAGAATTGTAGGGCAGGGAAGTGCTGAGTTCACAGGCCTGGCCCAGAAGCTTCTAAGGCCCCAGACACAGAATGGGGCTGCAGGGCGTCTGAGTGTGGAGAAGGATCCACCCCTCAGGCCCTAGAAATCCCTTTGAGCAATGCCTGCTCTGACTGAAACCTTGTTCTTGGAAGATCTCTTTTGAAGTATGCTCTCCCACCTAAACACTCCAGTGTAAATGAGTTTTTTCATATTTCCTTCTTTGCCTCCCAATAAAGAAAGCCAGGGCTGGGGTGGGGGTGGGGGACAGGTATAAGAAGATCTGTGTTTGCTGACAGCTCAGAGGGTGGCCTCAGGGAAAAGGCAGGGTCAGCTGTGGCCAGAGGGAGTTTCTCCTTCCAAGCCTCCTAATCCCTGTGTGCTGGGAGCCCTTGCTCTTCTGGCTTGGCCCCTGCTGTGGTCAGAGCAGCTCTAATCCATCCCAGATGCCTGACCTCAGTGCTGCCCTGGAATCCTGCCCCTTCCCAGCTTGCATTTGGAGGGAGTGGGGGGACCACAGCCCAGGCCACACTTTTCACTCTCCCCCAGATCTCTTTTTTGGCGCCTGGAGCTTTGTAAATATCTGGCTATTTCCCCACCTGTAGGATGGTGACTCTGCTGTGAGCCTAGCAGGGCTGTTTGAACAGCAACGGCAGGGCTGATGTGAAATGGCCTGAGCACCTTAGAGGAGTAGCTTCATGGGCAGTGTTTGGAATAGGCCCTGGGTATGTGGGAAGTTCATGGTCGGTATGCAAATACTCAGTGTAGGTTCGCTTGGGTGGCGTAGTCAGTTAAGCATCTGACTCTTGGTTCCAGCTGAGGTCGTGGTCTCGGGTCGTGGGGTGGATATCTGCACTCAGCATGGAGTCTGCTTGAGATTCTCTGTCCCTCTCCCTCTGCCCCTCCTGCTTGTGTTCTCTCTTTCTAAAATAAAGAAATCTTTATTTTTTTTTTAAGATTTTATTTATTTATTTGACAGAGAGAGACACAGTGAGAGAAGGAACACAAGCAGGGGGAGTGGGAGAGGGAGTGCAGGCTTCCCGTGGAGCAAGGAGCCCGATGCGGGGCTCGATTCCAGAACCTGGAATCATGACCTGAGCCAAAGGCAGACGCTTAATGACTGAGCCACCCAGGTGCCCCAATAAAGAAATCTTAAAAAAAAAAAAAAATATCCAGTGTATAACCACTTCCTTACTCTTCTTTGGTCTTCTTTCCTTAATTTTGTAACTGTCTGGATAAATCAAACCTTTTAAAAAGTGAAAATAGCTTCTCTTTTTAAAGCTACTGCAGGGACTGTTTCTTTGCTACAGTAACATTTTTGTCGTAGTGCTCCTTTTCTTCGCTTTCTCCCCCACCCCTCCTTTTCTCAGCTGTGATGAGGACTGTCTTCACTCAGAGGGCGTCAGTGCTTTGGGTCTGATAGTAGCAGGCCCTGGTTGCAGCTGTGTCTCTGGGAGGGGAAACAGAATGTTGACTCACTCACTCCTGTTCACTCAGCTTAGCGTGAACCCTTGCCCTTTCTTCTGATGTTCTCTTTCCTTCTCATGTCGCAGAGATAAGCACAAGGGAGCGTTGCTCCTCTTTTGCTGATGGGGAAAACCTAGGCCTGGAGAGGAAAGTGTCACAGCGAGTCAGTGACACTGGAATTTGCTCCCAAATCTCTCTGGCTCCAAGGGCTAACTTAGCACCCAGATGGAATAAAGGAGTCCCATTGGAGGCTCTGGGAGGCTCTCTCTCTCTCTGCCTTAACTCCTGCCTTTGAAGCATCCTTATGCTGAGCTGTGGCTGTCTGAAGGGTTCATTGTGATTAGTTCAAGACCCTCTTCTCTGGCATTCCCAGGGTAGCCTAAGATCACAGGGTGCTTAGGTTGAGGGTGTGGAAGGGACACTAGGAAAGAGGGTGCAAGGAGAATCTCCAAGTCCAAGTATGAAGGCTGCCAACTTCCTGGTTCTGTCAGTTTCTCCATGTGGGGTTGCAGATGGGAGGAGAAGTCACAAGTCCTCCGGATGCTGGCTGCCCTCCCTTGAGTCCAGACCCCACCCGGCCCCCCACCCCCCTGCCCCAGCCCAAGTCATACTGACAGCACAGGGAGGTGTACCTTCTCTGAGCCAAGAAGGGCCATATTGACGAGGGCCAGCAGTGAGCCTCGGTTTCCTCCTCTCAAGATGGAAGTAAGGAGGGCGCCTGGGTGGCTCAGTCATTAAGCGTCTGCCTTTGGCTCAGGTCATGATCCTGGAGTCCCGGGATCGAGTCCCACATCGGGCTCCCTGCTCAGCAGGGGGTCTGCTCCTCCCTCTAACCCTCTTCCCTCTCGTGCTCTCTGTCTCTCATTCTCTCTCTCTCAAATAAATAAAATCTTAAAAAAAAAAAAAAGATGGAAGTAAGGATTTCCCTACTTGCTTTATAGGGTCTTGAGGCCCAACGGGAAATCCCACTGTAAAGTGCTAGATGGCGAAAGGTATGACTGCTGTCTCGCCAGACACCCATCCCAGCCTCAGGTAGTTAAATGCTTCCCTTACCTGGTGAGCGAGGCATCTGTGCATCGGGAACAGACCTACAAAGTATGAGCGCCAAGATGAACCATCACATTGTATTAATATTTTCACACCACTTAACTCTCATTAAAATGTGCTTTGCTGAATTTAATATGTGATTTCAAATGACACAACATATTAAGTGCTTAATATACTAGAAATTATGAAACTATTATAGTCGGTGCCATATGAAATAATTAGACTGAATTAAACTTCAGCAGCCAAGTGAAGGAAAGACTTCAACTTAGAATGTCTTAAAGGAGCTTAAGCCACCACTGTAATCCCCCAAATAAACGTCCAGAAATTAGGATCTTTAAATAAAAACTGAAACTGAGTCTGTACTTACACCCAGCTCTTCCGGGCTTCACTGCTGCCGAATGTTGCTGCCTTTGGGGAGGTGGGGGGCCCCCAGCACCCACCCCAGGCCAGGGCCTCGGGGTCAGGGCGTCGGTGGCCTCTCCCCCGGGAGCCTGGCTGGAGGGTGACTCAAGTGACTGGAGTAAGGAGTAAGGTCTTCTGCCTAAGGGACAGATCAGTCTTCTTTGCCCCAAATTAGCCTATTGTCAAAAATTAAAACACGGGGTGTCTGGGTGGCTCAGATGGTTAAGTGTCTGCCTTGGGCTCAGGTCATGATCCCAGAGTCCTGGGATCGAGCCCCGTATCGGGCTCCCTGCTCGGCAGGAAGCCTCCTTCTCCCTCTCCCACTCCCCCTGCTTGTGTTCCCTCCCTTGCTGTCTCTCTCTCTGTGTCAAATAAATAAATAAATAAATAAATAAATAAATAAATAAATAAATAAAATCTTTAAAAAAAAATTAAACCACACCCACCTTCTTTACCATTTACTGAGCGCTTCGTTTCTGGTGGGCATTTTTATATCCATTTCTCTCATTTTGTCCTCAAAATGGCCTATAATACAGGCGTGTTATAGGCCGCCATGTTCAGATGAGGAAACGGGCTCAGAAAGATCAAGTGAATCATCCAAGGCCTTACAATCAGAATCCATAGTGTTCGCCCTTACATCACACATGGCTGCCTCATTAGTGTGTGTGTATGGGTGTGCATACGCATGTGTACACCACTTCCTATTTTTTTTAAGATTGTATTTATTTATTTGAGGTAGAGAGAGAGCAATCAAGAGCGCAGCAGCAGGGGAGCAGAGGGAGAGGCAGAAGCAGGCTCCCCGCCGAGCAGGGATCCCGATGCGGGGCTCGATCCCAGGACCCCGGGATCATGACCTGAGCAGAAGGCAGACGCTTAACCAGCTAAGCCACCCAGGCGCCCCAAGACAACTTCTTTTAAAGAGTAAGGAATACTTTTTATCATAGGGAATACTAACTTCTTGGCTATTTGAGATGCCATGTCTCAATTACTCATATCAGTGTGAAAATACTGACCCAATGGGCTGTTTGAAAAATATAAATTTGAGTGGAGAGACTTAAAGATACTATCATTTACTTACCAGCAAAAATAATTTTAAGCAGGAAAATTTAGCTCAAGCAAAAAAAAAATGTGCTTTTCCTAAGTATCAGACTTAGGTTCTGCCTCATATAATAGAAAACCAAATCACTATTTTTTTTTAAAGATTTTATTTATTTATTTGACAGAGAGAGACACAGAGAGAGAGGGAACACAAGCAGGGGGAGTGGGAGAGGGAGAAGCAGGCTCCCCTCAGAGCAGGGAGCCCGATGCGGGACTCGATCCCAGGACCCTGGGATCATGACCTGAGCTGAAGGCAGTCGCTTAACCAACTGAACCACCCAGGCGCCCAGAAAACCAAATCACTATTGCTTTAAGGTGACAGAGGTTAATTTCTCTGTCGCATGAGACAAGATGTCTTTCAAGGTCTGCTTGGATGGCTCCAGAGCTGGCTCTTTTACCATTTAGGGCAACAACTCATGGTCCAAAATGGCTGCTGGAGCTCCAAGTTCCAGGCATCAGGAAAGAGAAAGGCAGGAAAAGCAAAGGATGCATATTACTGCCCTAAATAAGATTTGTAACTAAGAAAGAAGAGAATGATAATGAACGGGCAGTGAGTGGTCCTTGGCATACCTCTCGGCACTCAGGTAGCAGTCAGTAATTGTTACTCTACTTCCTTTCCTGCAAAGCATCAAGAAGAGGGAAAGGAAGTAACATTTTCTAAGAGCATGCAGGATTCCAGGGACCATGTTGGACATCTGCACATCATCTCATTCAATTATCATAACCTTGTGTGCACAGCAGAGCAACAGATCAAGTAGGAAGAGAACCTGCAATTGGGGGTGAAGCTCTGTCCACAGGTGGAGGGGGGAAGTTGGAGGAGAGAGTGGGAATGTTTGCATGAAGAGCCCAGAGACTTCTGAGAAGGAAGGGATGAAGTTCCCAGCCTTGCTCTCCTAGAGTCAAGTTATTACAAATTTGTGGGGTGACTCAGATAGGACGAACCAAAGTCCAGTGGCAAGAAAGTGGTAACTGTGCCTTTAAAATAAAATTGCCATGAGCGTCGTAGAAAGTGAAGAGATTAAGAGATTAAAAAGATAAGTTAAAACCAGTAAAACTTGGATGGGCATTTCACAAAATGGGAGCTTCAGATGCCCCATGCAGAAGCATACGCAATCCCCCTAGTCATCAGGGAAATGCAAAATAGACCACCGCCCAGTTAACGCAGACAAGTCTGAGGATACCAAGTGTGGCTGAGGAAGTAGAGCGATGAAGATGGGAGAGTCTGGGGCTGGATCGAGGAGAAACTGGTGCAACCACTTTGGAAAACTGTTTGCATAGCTTCTAAAGCTGAAGACAAACTTTCCTCCATGACTCCATTGTTCCATTGCTAGCTGTAAAGCCTGCAGAAACTCTTGTACATGCGCACCAAGTTACAGGCAAAAGAATGTTCAAAGCAGCATTATCTGTAATGGCCCCAGTCAAGTGCCAATCCTCGGGAGATTGGATCAGTATTTCATGCTGTCCTCATGCTTTGCAGGACTGAAAATCATGCTTATGAAAATGAGTGAACTATGTTACATTCCGGGTCATGGGCTGAAATGTATCCCTCCCCAATTCTTATGTACAAGTCCTAACCCCCATACTTCAGAGTGTGGCCATATTTGGAGACGGGGTCTTCACATAGGTGAAGTCATATGGGTGGGCCCTAAGCCAATATGAAGATGTCCTTATACAAAGAGGAAATTCAGACAGTGACAAGTCCACCCCTGGATGTGAAGAGAGTGTGAAGACTCAGGAAGAAGGCAGCCACCTACAAGCTGAGGAAAGAGCCCTGGAAGAGATCCTTGTGTCACGACCTTCGGAAGGAGGCCACCCTCCTAATGCTTGACCTTGGACTTCTAACCTCCCGATCTGTGAAAAGCTATGTTCCTGTTGTTTCTGTCACGTGTCTGTGGTACTTGGTTACAGCAGTCCCTGCAGACCAGCACCCTCAGTG